TCCGTCGGAGCCGCGTCTTGAGAAGCCGGTAGGAGGCGGAGCTTTTCGCCAGAGGGGCAATACGACGACAAGGAGGAGGTGGTCGACGAACGTGGAGATGAAATGGGGCGGCGACATAGATTTCTTCCGCTGGAACCCTACGGCGGCCTCCTTGACACGGCAGCAACAACTCAGTTTGGGCCAAATGACTCGGGCCAAGTGTTCTGATAGGCCCCGCGGGATGGGCTGGTCTGTGGAAAGTGGCAAATTAGGCTCTTGTCATGGGCCGGCCTGTGAGAAGAGGTCAGTCCTTGGGCCGCCCATGTGTCGTATTTTGAAGTAGGGAGGTGAGTTTTATGGTCGGAAAGCTAGGCTTACCTTGTGCAATTCGAATGGGCCACGTCTGGAGGTGAAGCAGGCTAACAAGGAGCCTAGATGTGGGTCGCGTTTTGGAAAGAAAGAGGCTGAGACAAGATCTGAGTGCGGGCTGGAGCTTGGATTGCAGTGGGCCGGTGGAGATTTGAGGGTGGAATCGAGCTGGGCTCCGCATGGGCCGCCCAATTACAGTCTCACAAGGACTTTAGTCTATGTGGTTGGGCCGGTTCAAGAGGGGTTTGAGCCCAACATGACCTGGGTTTTGAAGAAGGAAAAAGAAAATGGGTTCATTGAGTTGCAATATGGCCTTCTTAAAGATCATATCACAAAGGTAGGTGGAGAAGCAACAAATCAAGTAAGTGGGCTGGTTTCAAGGAAGATTTTTAAGGGCCTTGATGAGTTGGTATTCAAGGATAAGTTCTTGTGCAATAAAGTAACCTTGAATTGTGACTTGACTGTGATGCCAACCAAAGAGGAGCTGTTGAAGTTCGAAAGAAGCAATTAGTGAGCCCATTGAAGTGAAATCCGAAGAATTAAATCAGCAAGAGAAGGTCGGTGGAAGAAGCCCAATATTAGAGATGGAGCATGATTGGAAGAAACAGAAGCGCAAGAAATGGAGGAGTAAGCGTGCGGATTGCTCGAGAAGGAAGGAAGAGTGGGTCAAGTCAGTCAACCATGAGCGCAAGATTGGTCTGAAGGGCGAGGAGATGTTAAAAACCAATTTCTGTAGGGTTTCACTATTTATTATTATAATTATTATTAGGGTAATCATCAATAAGGTTAGTAGTCATTTATTAGAATTAGGCTTATTATTAGGGTTTTCCTATATTTCCTATAAATATGTACTTGGCCTATTTATTCAGAATCAATAAGAATAATATTAAGAAAATCCCTAAACCCTATTCTTTCCCAAATCCTCACAATTTCTCTTCTTTTCCTAATTTGACCGTCGACCATTCTCTTATGTTCTTCCCCAATTATCCTCCCAAATCCCTAATTCTACTTCTCAATTCCTAAATTCCCAAATATCACCCAATCCAAATCCCGTTAGAAACTTTGTTTCTAACATTTGGTATCAGAGCCATGGTCGAAGATTTGAGTTCGTCACAACTCTCAATTAGGGATGAACTTGTGTATGAAGACTTCATGTCGTATGTCATGACGTTGGACCTGCGAGATCGCCTTATCGTGTTCTTCGAATTGCCAGGGGTTCGAGAAGGAGCACATAGACGTGCAAGTGATTGGATCAGATGTACTAGCAATAATGGGGCAACGATAATTGGCTTATGGTCACTGATGGATCCGCAAAAAGCAAATCAGATTCCAAGCAAACCGCGACATCAGACGATATCACGGTGGTTTTGGGAAATCTGATTTCATCATCAGAATTCCCAAAATCTCCGCCCCTATGGACCACAACCATGATGAAGATGCGACAGCAGAGCAGCTACCGGCCGGGGATGCTGCCGTAGCAGAAGAACAGCAGCCGGTAGTGCATGTTGACTCGGACAATGACGGTAAGAGGCGAGCAGATCAGCCGAGCGTGGAAGAGGTCTTGGCAACCGAGCTACCAGCCACGGAAGAAATTCCAAACGTTGCTAACGAACAGCAGCAGCTTCTGTTGAACACCGCCGCTTAAATTTGGAAAACTGCAATACACTTAGTCGGGACAAAAGAGTTGTGCACTAAGGAGGCTGAAGCAAATCGGAAGGAGAATAAAAATACGCTGGTCACCATAGAGAATAAATTTAGGGCGGACCCTGCGACTCTGTTTGCAGGGACATTGAACGGGAATTCGTTCAAGACGAAGACAGACTGGGAGATGGTGGAAGATCCGCCGCCGGATTTGAGATCAATCGGCAAGAGGACGGAGATCGGGTTTCCAGTCGAGCGCCAAAGCGTAGCGCAGGCAGAGGAGCCTCAACATAATGTTGGGTGATCCTTACGACGACAATGGCAAGGATAAGAAGATGATGGAGACGTCGGGTTAGCCTCTGGATTTTCGGACAGGCGGTATCCTTCCACGCAAGGATGATTCCGAGGAGGAGATGAAGAAGTCGTCATCGGGGGTGGAATCGAAGGAGAACAAGGCAGCGCTCAAGATGGAGGTGTGTTATGCCGTGCCGTCGAGCGGAGGTGAGGAGAAGTCGGGGCAGATCGGGTGGAAGAGTTGCCGACAGAGATGGAGGCGGAGAAGGATCCGTCGGAGCCGCGTCTTGAGAAGCCGGTAGCAGGCGGAGCTTTTCGCCAGAGGGGCAATACGACGACAAGGAGGAGGTGGTCGACGAACGCGGAGATGAAATGGGGCGGCGACATAGATTTCTTCCGCTGGAACCCTACGGCGGCCTCCTTGACACGGCAGCAACAACTCAGTTTGGGCCAAATGACTCGGGCCAAGTGTTCTGATAGGCCCCGCGGGATGGGCTGGTCTGTGGAAAGTGGCAAATTAGGCTCTTGTCATGGGCCGGCCTGTGAGAAGAGGTTAGTCCTTGGGCCGCCCATGTGTCGTATTTTGAAGTAGGGAGGTGAGTTTTATGGTCGGAAAGCTAGGCTTACCTTGTGCAATTCGAATGGGCCACGTCTGGAGGTGAAGCAGGCTAACAAGGAGCCTAGATGTGGGTCGCGTTTTGGAAAGAAAGAGGCTGAGACAAGATCTGAGTGCGGGCTGGAGCTTGGATTGCAGTGGGCCGGTGGAGATTTGAGGGTGGAATCGAGCTGGGCTCCGCATGGGCCGCCCAATTACAGTCTCACAAGGACTTTAGTCTATGTGGTTGGGCCGGTTCAAGAGGGGTTTGAGCCCAACATGACCTGGGTTTTGAAGAAGGAAAAAGAAAATGGGTTCATTGAGTTGCAATATGGCCTTCTTAAAGATCATATCACAAAGGTAGGTGGAGAAGCAACAAATCAAGTAAGTGGGCTGGTTTCAAGGAAGATTTTTAAGGGCCTTGATGAGTTGGTATTCAAGGATAAGTTCTTGTGCAATAAAGTAACCTTGAATTGTGACTTGACTGTGATGCCAACCAAAGAGGAGCTGTTGAAGTTCGAAAGAAGCAATTAGTGAGCCCATTGAAGTGAAATCCGAAGAATTAAATCAGCACGAGAAGGTCGGTGGAAGAAGCCCAATATTAGAGATGGAGCATGATTGGAAGAAACAGAAGCGCAAGAAATGGAGGAGTAAGCGTGCGGATTGCTCGAGAAGGAAGGAAGAGTGGGTCAAGTCAGTCAACCATGAGCGCAAGATTGGTCTGAAGGGCGAGGAGATGTTAAAAACCAATTTCTGTAGGGTTTCACTATTTATTATTATAATTATTATTAGGGAAATTATCAATAAGGTTAGTATTCATTTATTAGAATTAGGTTTATTATTAGGGTTTTCTATATTTCCTATAAATATGTACTTGGCCTATTCATTCAGAATCAATAAGAAGAATATTAAGAAAATCCCTAAACCCTATTCTTTCCCAAATCCTTTCAATTTTTATTCTTTCCATAATCCGGTCGCCAACCATTCTCTTCTGTTCTTCCCCAATTATCCTCCCAAATCCCTAATTCAACTTCTCAATTCCTAAAATCTCAAATATCACCCAATCCAAATCTCGTTAGAAACTTTGTTTCAACACTTTTATGTGCTCATTCCCTAATAACTTGTCTCTTCTTTTCTGCTGTTGCTTGCTATCGAAGCGGATTCTGTACTAAGTTTTCAAGTTCTCAATTAATAAAATTGCATCACCACTATAAAAAAGAAAAGCCAAAACAATTTGAAAATAGTATTCAGTACTTTTTATCGAAAGTGATGCCTGTCTGATTTCTTGAAATTCAGATGTGGTCTAGTGGAAGTAACCACGACCCTGATAATGCTCCATTCCTTCCAACACATTAGTTCCTTTTTCTCGAGTAAGGACTCAAATTGGAGCTATTTCTTGGTAAGAATCACAAAATCTAATAGTGTTGACTTTACATAATGAAGAGCGCCTGCTGATTGACATGCTTTCAAGAGCTTGCGAGAAACCTTCAGCTAAATTGTGCATTGCCAGTTAGCAGCAGCCATAGGATGAGTCAGGGGCAGAGCTAGGATTTAACATTCGGGGGGGGGGGATTTTTAGTTTATTATCGGAAAAAGGTGAACCACATGAACAAGTGATTAAATTATATGAATAAAAGATCAATTTCAACGATATTATGTTCCGAAAAACTGATATTATATTATCAAAAAATAAATTAGCATTTCAATGAATACCATGTCTTTCAATAATTAATATAACCAAGACAATTAATACGAATTCGGAAGTTGAAAAAGTAAATTGGTATGTTTAAAATGACTGAAATATTAAAATAACTAAACATTTTGGTAAAAGTAAACGAAAAATGAAAACATAAACGTTATGTATCTCTTGTTGACTCCTGATCAATGTGACAATTTTCTGAAAGAAAAACTAAAAATTGAGATATAATAAAAGTAAAACAAATTGCTACATTGAAGGTTCGAACTCTGGTCAATGGGAGAAATGCATTAACCAATAGGTCAGCGATCGAAATGACACACCTATTACGATGCACTCATATGTATACAGATCCCAATTCGAAGAGTATTCAAAATGACACACGAGAGGCGCAAACAATAGCACAAGTAGAAATCAATACTTACATCCTGAACTTCCCAATGAAAAGCTAGAGGACATTGTGGTTGCACCAGACATGCCGGAATTCCTGTCTGAATGTGTTGAGGCGAGCTTTAAGATTAGATGTTCTAAAACTGGCATGCACTATGGTGGCTGAGATAAGAGAGGGGGAGAGAAGGTTAGGAAGCAAACATGCAAATTCCAAGACAAGAAAGTCAAAGTGAGAAACAGACCAAGAAGTCCAATGGCAAGCGCCCACGAGAGAGTCAGAAGCCCACATGAGACATACCAAAGGCAGAAACTCACTACAAAAAATGCACAAAGAAAGAAACCAATTGAGGATGGTTTTCATTTGGACCAGGACATAAAATGCTACATTACATAAGAAGGAGAGAACGAACTGAACAACATCAAAAGTACCAAGTTAGAATGCAGCAACAAAAGCCGAAGGAGGCTGGACACATATGTAGATTGATCTTTTAGCACATCGGCATCCATGAATGACAGGTCTGTGATTGCAGAAAATGATGAACAACATAACATGAATGGTTGTTCCAGAAAATATAATACCCTGACTTACGTGAAAGGAGGACGCATCTTTGGTGCTAACTGTGGAGAGAATTGCCTCGCAGCTCTTGTTACCTTCTCACTAAAGGTCCCTGCAAAGCTGCACATACAACCCTTTTAGCAAACAACAAATATCCAATGACCATTGAGGGAAATACAGCCCACTCAGAAATTGCAGTGTTCAATAAGACGCGCCTAGGCATGGGTACTTGATGGGCATGGAGGAAATGTTGAGAATTGGCATGGGCGGATGACCTGGGCGCATAAAACGCGGAATCGAGCGGCAAAACGACTAGGCGGCGATTAGGCGCTGGGAATCACGCTTCCCATCTGTTGGCGATGCCCAGGGTAGGAAATAAAGGGGGAAGTTGTTCTCCTTTAAACCAAAACCCAACCTTAATAAGTCATTTATTCATTCGACATTTCCAGCAAAAAAGAGAGTAGCAGCCGCAACGAACAACCAGCGCCGTCCTCCACGCGAGCGACCAGCAGCCGTAATGAGCAACCAACCCCTTCATAGTCGGTTTCCTCCCTCTAGTTGACTCCATTAAAATCACTCATGAAATGCCTAATTTGTTTCTTAGTTCATACACAACTTAGACTCAGTGAAAAAATAACTATGGGGCAGAACACAATATAAGGAGAGAGCAGAAGCAAAGTTGAAGAACCTGTCATTCAGGAAAGCGAAGCAAAGAGCGGTTGAAAGGGCCGCCAAATAGAAAGAGGTATGTTAAGAAATCCGAGACCTGCCTAGTGTTTAGCCATAAGATGTAAGCGAGTCCAAAGCGAGACACAAAGAGGAATAGGAAGCTATAACAAACAACTGCATCTTCACTCACCCAGAATTAGAACCATCATGATGAAGTAATTCGTGCGATAGCTGCAACAAAAGAAGTGAGCTCTGGCTCAGTTAGGGCGCTTGAATTGGTGATCGGGTCCAAATGCATGAATTTGATATTAATCTAATCCAAGCAACAGAGAAAATAATTTGAGTAGTGAGTACATTCCTAATTGGTTTTCATGGTCTAATTGTAAGGCTATAAGGAATGGAATAGAGCAAAGAGAGAGAGTTACTAGTAGAGATTGCATTTGAGGCGGCTATTCCATGTGCCAGAGGACTTAGGGACGGTGAATCTGGAGAAGAACTCCGCCATCGAGCGCGACGGCGATGACCAGTCGACTTCGCGGATTGCGTCGATCAAGTCTTCTGTTGTCACGTTCCCCCACTCCATTGGTGATCGTCACTCGTCCGTAGAGAGCGAGGAAGCCTTAAGAAAAATTAGCAGGAACTTTGGGACAATCGGAGGTAAGAAGTGGAGTAAATCGGGGAAGAAGAGAGTCTGTGGCCCAGGAAATTGGAAAATTCTTAGCTCCAACCATCCAAGGTGTCAGTTTGTTATTGGTGGATTCACCTTCCTTTTTTCTTAATATTTAATTATGCTAAGTAAATCAAGAATTAAAATATTAAAAAATTATGAAATCACCATTAACAAACTGACACGTGGCAAAGGGAGATGCGAGATGTTGCATTTTAACTACAGGTTGATCGCAAAATCGAATGCGGAAAAAATGTATGGTGTTTGAAGTGGGGATTAGTTTAGAATGTATATTGTATAAATGTAGCGTCGTGGGCAATTATCATATTCCTAAAGCAAAAAAAAAACATATTCCTAATCATACCTATAACATTTCGTACCTTTTCCCGAGCAAGATATTGTCCGCTTTGGGCCTCGACCCTCGCGGTTTTTGACTTGGTGTGCAATTCAATGTGACTTCTCATAAGGTCACACATCCTTGTTGAAGTAGTGTGCAATTCAATGTGACTTCTCATAAGGTCACACATCCTTGTTGTACTTCACACTGAGCACGTTTAACTTCAGAGTTCTCACAATAACTCCTCCATTTCACCCCAAAATGTGTCTTGTCAGTTAAGGTCGGTTTCTCCCTTATAAACCATGGATCTCTCCTGTGCTTTGTCGATGTGGGAATTGCCTAATGTGTTATATACACCCCCTTGTGACTCAATGCCCTCGTTAAGGTTTGCCCCACCATCGTTTAACAGGGACGCGGAGAGGCTCTGATACCATTTGTAATATCCCGGACCTTTTCTATATTATTATGATTCTTTTTCTAATCAAACATAGTATTTGAGCCTAAATCCTATATTATTGTTGTTGTTGTTGTTGTTGTTATGTGGGAATAGACTTCAAATACTACACTCAAGTATGCATTCCAATTTCCAAACGACCCACTAGTACGTGACAATAATGTGAGAACCTACAACCATTTGTTTCATAACTCTTTCAGTAATTATAGGGTTTCCAGATGACCTGGTTCACTATTTCAAAGGAGAAAATATGTCTAATGTCCATGTTGGCCTATTGGCTCATTTGCATGGATTATCCTTGTATGGTCTTTTTGTTTGCTCTTTTTGCAGGTGAAGATTCAATTTCCAAATAATCAATTAGTGGCGGCTACGTCCTGTCCACCAAGTGGTCTTTTGCTGAGATTTGTTGGCGCACTGCTGCGAAATAGGGTGCACAACATTGGCTTTGTGCCATTGTTGCTACTGAATTGGAATTTAGGGTGTTGCCATGGAGGTTATCCTTTCGATTCATGCTTCTCCAGCGAACCAAGTTTGCATCGTACTTATCCTAACGTTTGTATCCTTTTGATGGTTTGAGAGTTTTGCATCACTTTTTTCTTAGGAACTAACAGAGTTGCCCATTGCATGGCAGAAAAAGACTCTTTCATTGACAGTTCAATTAATATTGACTGTCGCTTTTATTTTTCAATCCTTTGTAAACAACTATCTATGAAAAAAGAATTATAGACTAAATGACACATTTATCACTCACTTTGTCAAATTATTTCATGTTTTTCGCTATTGTTTTTATTATATTAGTGATCTCTTAGGGGTTCTTATTGTTTTTTTGCAAGGAGATATCTTTTAACAACTTTGGCGATTCCCGCATCGACAAATCAAGAAAGAGATCCATAATTCATACCGATCTTAATCAACTAGATGCGGTTTGTGCTAAAATGGATTAGTTCTTGTTAGAAATTCGAAATTAAACGTGCTCCTTGTGCAGCACTGCAAGGATGGATGACCTTATGGGAAGTCACATTGATATGCACCCCCCAAGGTAAATTTTGTGAGGGTCTTAGCCCAAAGCGGACAATATCTTGTCGGGAAACTATTCTGGATGTTACAAGTGGTATCAGAGCCTCTCCGAGTCCCTCTTGAAAATAATGGGGAAAACCTCAACAAGGACCTTGAGTTCCAAATGTGGGGTGTATGTAACACCTTAGGAGAATCTCAAATCGACAAAGCACGAGATAGATCCATGACTCATAAGTAAGAAACTGACCTTAAGCGACAAGATGCGTTTTGGTTTGAAAATGAAAGATTTCTTGTAAGAGTTCCAAAGTTAAACGTGCTCACTATGGATCACTGTAAGAATGGGTAACTTATGGGAAGTCACTTTGATATGCACCCCAAGGAAAAATCCGTGAGGGTCTAGACCCAAAGACAATATCTTATTGGAAAAAGTTTCGGGATGAAAGCACAGACATAACTATTGTATTTCCTATATAATACTTCCACGCCGCAAGCATATGTGATTCGAGGGTAATTATACATGTTTGGCCCTTCATAACTTGATCGTTTGCCATGGTGTTTAGCATTTCTTAACCTATAATACACTAGGTTGTGCCTTGATTTTTTATTTTCAAGTCCTAGTACGTGGTGGAAGCCGATGAATGAGTTTTGGGGAAAAGGGAGTCAAAGATAGCATTAAAAAGAGAAAGCAGCGTGAACACGGTCTGAGACATGACCTTGTTCCTCACACGTGCTCAATCAGGATGTGATCGTGATCTCTAGGACACGTATTCAATGAGTTCTTCAAGGAACACAACCATGTTCCTATCCCATGTCTAGTGCTTATGAATAGGAACCAATTAACGTCGCACGGGCAGTTGTGAGGGTAATGGTCTCTGAGAGCGTGACATTGGCAAGGAAACCATGACATCGAACAAAAACAGCACAGATTGAAGAAGAGTGAAGAACACGGCCTAGGACACGCCTGTGTTCCTAGGCCGTATTAGGGTTGCTTCACCTTTTGTCCAGCAGACGAATGAAACACAACGGTTGGAGGAGAACACGGCCTGAGAACACGCCCATGTTTCGTGGCCTTGTTCAGCCTGATTATGCATGCTATAAATCTGCAGCTGCTGGTTTTTGAGAGGAGAGATTGAGAAGTTTAGAGAGAGTTGGGTTTTCACTCAAAAACACCAAAAGGGGGTTTTCTAGAGAGAGAGAGAGTGATCTAGAGTGATATTAATCTGAATTGGAGGCTTTGATTGAGCTTGGAGCAAGGAAACCAAGCCTAGAAGATGAAGAAGGAAGATCTCTAGCTTTGTATTGTAAATTCTCTATTCTCTATGAATTAGCTCTCCTTCACTTTGCTTGATGAATTCTAGGTCTAGATGTTAGTTTGATGGTTGATGTATGTGACAAACCTTATGATTATGATTCTATATTATATATTGAATTGAGTATTTCATTCAATTGATGAATCTAGATCTCATAGGAGGGAGAATATCCCCCTAGATTGAATAGAGCATTACCGATTCATCACTATGGGCCTTTGAAAAAGTGTGATAGAAACCGTAGTGCCGTACTAAAGTGTACTACGGTGGTATGAACATAACAAAGTGTATAATGGCTGAAAACATGATAGTAGGAATATATGAACTGTCATCTACCACATTCATCATTGTGTACCACCAGTTATCACCCCTATATCAAGGTGGTATGGAGTTATATGTCTTGATCATATTTTTTTTTTCCAGAAATTCGTATATCGAATAAATCACGATGAACGTGTTCCATTTGTGCAAAACATTTCAAAATTCGATTTCAAAATGAAGGTGGTACCAAGTAGGTAACAAGTGGTATGAATTTTTTTTCAAAATATATTGAAAATTGATATCATTTTGTAAATCACAACGAACGCGTTCTATTGATGCAAAAAAATTGAAATCCAAGTTAGAACGAAGAAGATAAGAGCCAATTAAGAAAACTATGTAAAATAAAAAATGATTAATTCTCACCACTTGGATCTGGACCCACTCAAATCTAATAGTGTATCTAGTTTTGGACTCTTGAAAGTGGGTAAGGCTCAGTTTTAGTTTTGTTTTAGTGCTAATAGCCTAATGCCCAAGTTGTGAAATCGGTGTAAATTGTTGAGCCGGTCAAACAAGTGGTTTGATGTTCAATAATCTGATCCGGGTCTAACTTGTTTGAGCCTCTTTATACATTTTCTAAATATATATACAAAAAAGGTAGTAATTTAAGAATTTAATAACTGAAAATGAGATTTACCTTACATGTAACTACTAGAAACTCACATCCCATTAAAACATTATATAACCCCACATGACTCACCCACCATTCTCTCTCTTCTTCTTCTCCCTCTCTAGCGGTCAAACCAGTGACTTTCTGGAGATCATTTTGGAGCCTGAAAGCGGTCGGACCATGTCCAACCATCCGGTTAGACTTGGCAATCGGGTCGGGTTGGATAATTTTGGGTTGGGGACGTTAGTTACGGGTCAGTTCATGTTTGGTTAGCTGATTTTGGGTCAAATATTGACACAACCCATTCGGTTTTGGGTCGGGTTACAGGTCATTTCGGGTTACGAGCGTTCTCAGAAACAATATCAAATATGCTTCATATTTTCTTAAAGAACACAAATTTTCACATATGCATGATAATAGTTTACCAAACACATGTCAATTAACATATTCTCAAATCCTCCCACGCTAATGAAATAAAATACAAATTGCGTAAATCATCAAAAAACAATCACACTAGTAATACTACTACAAGAAACACATGATATTTGATTATCCTTAAACTGCAAACATGTCATTCAAATCCTTGTGATTTTTTTAAACATCTCACCAATTTATGAGTGATCTTATCATATTTTGGGAGTGATATATAAAATGGAACGGGTCTAACGGGTCGACCCGCTAACCCATCCGACCCGACCAAAAAAATCACGGGTTATCGGGTTCAGGTCATTCGAGTTACGAGTTACAAAAATTTTTAGTTTTCGAACGGTTTCTGGTCGGGTCGAGTTGTAATTTTCCAGGTCTACATCCGGTAGAGGTTTAACAACTTTGCTAATACCACTATACCACACAAACTATTAAAAAAATGCCAAT